TGAAAGAGTGCATTGAATATTGTATGAGCTCATTCCTGCATGGCTGAGCAGAACCACAGCAGCCTGTTCATAGCGGCGATGCAGCCGGTTAAAATCAATAGCAAAAGATTGCAATAACAAGGAAAAAAAGTCTCCCCTCAGGGAGCTGTTTTTGTCTCGTAAACACCTGCTATAAAACATAATTTGAGTTGGTACATGTTCTGAAACAGCATTTGACATGAGAGAAGCATTTTTTTTAAGCTACTTGAACCAAGGTAACCAAGGAGGTCACAGTTAAGACATCACAGGTTTATCCAGCAGTTATAAAAGAAACTCATCAACAAAATGACTCATTTAGCAACTTTCAGACATTTCCCTTCTTCATGATATAAAACTGAAGCCATCTCCATCCTGAATGATCTACGCCTGAGTATTCAGCACTCATGCTTAATTTAGGAAGTTATGACACAAATGTCCGACCTGCCTGCCTCATCTGTAAGGTTACCGAGTTTGTTTGAGCCATCTTTTCAGATGACGTAACGGCGTGTTGGTCTCAGAGGAGGAGCTCGGTTAGCCCCCGTCTCTGTAACAGAAATCATTGCTGATCCTGGGAGGCAGCCTGATGAAATATTCACACTGTTACAGTTAGGGTGGTCTTTTTATAGAGCGACACCTTTTGTTTTTTTTTACTAAGCCTTTAGCCAGAGAAATCTGAGCTTGTTCAGCATCCAGAGAAAATCTTCCTTTTAGAATTAACACATGCAAAGCACAAGCAGCAGAAGAGTTGAACATTTTTCCCCTTGTTTATTACAAATGACTCATCTGGTAAATCGGCGTGCGCTTTAAAAACTCCCCCTTATATCCTCGACAACTCACTCCATAAAGTGAGTTGATCCTTTTAAAATTAAAAGACAAAGAAAAAACAATGACTGTGGAAATATAACATACCTGGACATGATGAGGCAGAACACTGTGTCCACCCTATTTATTTTAATATAAGTCTGTAGTATTGTTTTGGAAAATACATGCATTATAAGATAGAAAACAGTATAATAGTTTAGCAGTTCCTTATAATGACATTATTCATGCTGTTCTCAACTACATCACATATCATACAACAGTATCATCAGCGTAGAATCTCATCTAGATTTACTTGCATAACACTACAAATAGATGCTGTGTACTGGTAAATGTATCCCAAACCATCACATGTTTTATCCTTTTGTGTGTCACTCCACACCAAAACAATGCAAGAATTACACATAATATTCGTATGCAGTACCATGAAGACCCACCAATCTGTTTCCAAATTAGCAAGTTAAAACATTTTCAGGTTTTCTGGTGATTTAAAGAACCAGAAACCACAGAGTCAGATGTGGCTATATGGAAGGAATATAACTACCATGCAAAGTCAGGAAGCATCTTAAAGATGGTTAAATGTGTCACAAAATATTTAATAAGCACCATCTTTTATTCAAGGATAATTTTCTCTTTTCTTGTAAAGGTTATTTCCTGTTTAATTTGTTAAAATAAGTGACAAACTAATATGTGTTTCATTTTACTCATGTACTATAGACATATGAAACCAAAATGGGAAGTGCTTGCTTAACTTTGAATTCATACTATTTTAGACTTGGGCCGGGATGAGATTTTCATAGTGTTTACATCATAATCACACATACAATAAAATCTAATATAGCAAATTCATAGGTCCAGTAATAGTATACATAATATTTGTTGTTTTGGATACAGACTGAAGTGAAAATATCAAATTAACAGCAGCTAACTTTTGAGTTTTCTAAATTTGAAGTATAACATGCTAACATTAGCTGTTTAATTAGCTAAGCTATCTTCTTGTGTAGCCGCTCATCACGTACCAGCCTTAGTTTAAAACATTTTAAACAGTGAGGATTGTAATACCTAAAAAATAACATTTAAAACTGTTTCTAAAAGCTTACTGTACCTTGACATTTAAGATCCGGACTTCCCAACCCTAGCTTCACTGATCTGTTGACCAATTCCACTTCCATGAACAACTCTGGCCTTGGCTTTATTCACTTGCTCCATTTCTTGTATCAGCATAAATAAAATAAAAAAAGAACTTGATCAAATAAGCCAAGGGAGCTCTTCACTGTGTGCAGATACCACTCAGTTTAACTTAGTGTGTTAATTGAGCAAGAGATCACACAGAAGCTGCTCTAATCATCTGCTCTGCATTTCAGACTGACTCATTAGACGGAAGATTTCAACATTTCATTAGAGAGGCTGCGGTTGGATAAAAGAGCTAGCTCGCAGCTGCCAGCGAGAATATTCTAATGTTTAGATAGGAATTGGAAGTCATTGAGCTCCTACACAAGCCATCTGCCTCTGCGTCACATAATATGCTGATAGACCTCGACGCTGGCTGCCCATGCTGCCAGCGCTCTTTCACCGTTCCCCCTTTTTTTGTGGTAAATGGGAATCATCTAGAGCAATTTGCATCAAGTAGACAGGAAATGAGGAGTTATATATTAAAAAGTTGATTTGTTCCTTCATAAGAGAGGCTGAAACAATACATGTCTGCATTTAGGCTTCTAAAGCAAAATGCGTTCATCGAAACGTCTTGCGTGTTTGATCCGCCGCGTGAGACGTACGTGAGGAAAAAGAATTTCTCCCCGTGAAGCTTTTAAGCTTCCTAAACTGGCGTTCTGCATTCGGTGGCGCGTTCAGAGCAGCGTTCTGTGCATCTGCACAGGACTTGTCTTTCAGAGGACAGCCAAGGCTCTTTTGTTTATAGCGCTAAAAGTGCCTCTGCCTCTCTGCTGTCGTCGCCCGCAGGAGGGAGTGTCTCGGAGGATGCAGCAGAGTGCTCACACACTCCCCTGCCACCGCTGAGGTTTCTGATGTAAGCACCTCAGAGCAGAGGAAGTAACTTTTTAAGTCAGATTGGAGAAGTGACATCGCTGCAAGGGAAAGAAATATCCGCACAGGATCAACAGCAGATGCAAACCGGACGAACATTAATATGATCAAAGCAGTCGTCTGCATACAGTGACTTGCGGTTTTAGATAGAAATGGTTTAAAGAAAGTCATTTCAATGATTATTCTTTGTCTGTGCACTCAGAAAAGGCAGCAAAAAGTGAACTCTAATTTGAGCAAGTTGAACCCCATTTGGAAAGCTTTAACACCTGCATGTTTTAGCATGATGAATAGCTCTTTAAAAGCTGCAAATTTACACTGACGATTCATTTTTGTGCAAGCCAAACTTGTCCCATGCTTCAGCCTGTCACCAAGATTCTTATTCAATAATGGCTTTGAATTGAAGGAGAATTGTAGAAGGAAAGGTTTGGATAGGAAAAATAACTAAGTAACATAAAAGAACTGAAACCGTTCATGTGGCGCCGTACAGATGTAATGAAAAGGAAATGAAGCTTTTTAGAGTAGGTTTTTTTTTTCTTCATACCTGGTTAAATCATTGCTGTGAAGATAAATGCTGCCTGTTGGATGGTAAGAAATCAATTTTGCACTGCACCAGTGGACATCTGGGTTGCTAGGTGTCTGCAGGTGGCAGGTGCATATATCATCAAAATGTACCTTTGCGTGTCCCTGATGCTTATGTTAAAGCATTTATTTCCCCACTTTCACCGTGTCATGCTGTTAAAACAATAGAATTTTTGCACATTATTTTTACTTGGTCATTTATTTTAAGCTCTTCTTCATTTGTTTTCTTATTGGCAAATTTGTGAACTCGTAACAGTCGTTTCTCTCTGCCGTGTTCACTGTGTTTAGCATGGAAACCACACACCATCAGCTTTACTGCAGGGGGAAGGCTTTCACAGAAGTGTGTGAAACTGTGTCTTTATAGTTCTGTTCCACCTAAAAACTTAGGCCTCGGATTGGTTGAAGTGAAATCTCCTGTGGTTCAAATGCACATGTGAGCGCCAAGTGGACCGGAGACTGCTCCGAAAAGAGGGAAGCAGACTATGGCATGGGGCATTCTGGGTAAATGGAAGCAAAACAAACGTACAAATCTAGCGTTAGTGGGAGAAATGGCTCGTAGTCTTTTGCCAACAGAAATCCCACAGCCCCTAAAATTTACATGTTTTTCATTTTGTGAGGAAAGAAGTCGTGTCCTTGTCTTTTTCTGTCGTTTATTTCAGTGGTTCTTGGTGCAGCGCCACCACATTCAAGGAGGGAACAAGGTTGAGTTGGTTTGACACAACAGCGTCTTGTTGTCTTGTCCAGGGTAACGGATATATTGAGTTGGGGTCTCATGTGTTGTTGCGCAGGTATTTTCCTCTTTGTTATTTTTACGTTGGGTTTTTTAGCTGTAGAAGCTACAAGTGTTAGATCAGCTTTATCAGGCATAAGAGTGGGGGGTCTTTTACAATCACAAGCAGGAGCACAAAGGCAAAGCCAGATGCAGATGAGACTTGACAGGTTGGCATGGAAACCGAGTCGTCTCTACAAAGACTTTTTTTTTTTTTTTTTGCATGTCTTAGCAGCTCCGTTTGTCATTGTGTGTGCAGAAATGTGTGAGTGAGAGGACAAAATAAGCCCAGAAAACCCGGTGAACTTTTTCTCTGGGCTTGTTTACCGAATCCGATGGCAGAAAATCTGGTTGGAGCTTAAAGAACCATATTGTGTGAGTTTTAACGGCAAAAAATAAAGTAGTGCAGTAATGATCCACTTGTTTGATCCATCTGCTTCTCATTTAAGAGCCTTTGTTTGTTTGCCTTCCAAATGAGATAAATCATAACAACAATAATATGAATCTTAGTCAGGCACAAACAATGAATCAGTTAGCCTGTTTTAACCCTAAAGAAAACAGAGCTCAGCTGTTTTATGTGGATGAGAGACGTTTATCTACTAATCTTCACTGCATTCAAAGTAGAGTTTAGTTACGGTATAGGCAGATGGCTTTGGATTCTGGATGCTTGTAAAGCAGCTCGGCTATTTTTGCTGTTCAGCTCGCAGAGAAAAAAGTGAATATTGAATCTCGCTCAATCTGTTTCTCCTTTTGGTTTTTTCTTCTGCTGCAGTTGGGACGACAGCAGCTCGGTGAGCAGCGGCCTCAGCGACACCTTGGACAACTTCAGCACCGACGACCTGAACACGCCAGCGTACTCCGCCACAAGCTCATCACGCAAAAGCAAGGGAGCGCAGGTGGGCCGCGCAGTGGATTCTGACCGGCAGCACGCCGATGTTTCTGTGTGGCAGAAATTCGAAAGGGTTAGGACACTGATGGGCACAGAGAGATAGAGCTCCAATACCTGTCGAAAGCATTTCCACCCATTGATCCGTTTCACATCTCATCACCTTACTCACTTCAGTGTACTTAATAATGGCATTTAATGTAATGGATCAATGCGCATTCATCTATTCATGGATTCTTTTCTTTTATTCTTGCCAAAAATTTACCTATTTTCAATTTTTTCTGTAGATCGCATCAAAAAACATTAAAAAGAAAATACGTCTTTGGAAGCTAGCATATCTACATGCTATGTTACTTTTTATGCTATTGGCTGATGTTTACAAAGCAGCCAATCCTGAAGCGCCATTCATTTTCCTTGGTGTTAATTGGCTGCACAGTGGAGATTAGCATCTGTGTTTGTGCTGAGATGGTTTCCATTGTGCATTTTCATGCATATTAAGGTATATTTGGTGGCTGAACTACTAAAATAAGCATTTATGAGCATTTTTGAGGAAATCTCAGGTATTTGTGGATGTTAGCTGTTTGCGGTAGGGTGTGGTCCCTAACCCATGTGATTACAGCACAGCAGGGACAACCTAAACTGATCCTGTTTCGGTAGACAGTAATTCAATTTGTAGGTTTACTCTTGCTCCAATGCACTGGATATTATTCATAGGTGTCAGAGTAAAGAGGGCTGGATGTACTGTAGATGCATGCCAGACTTTTTTAAGATGTATTTGTCCAAAACCCTGATAAAGCTCAGGAGGTTTTGCATATGCTTATGTTTTCATGTAAAAAATAAAACTGCCTTGTCTAACATCTTTATTTGGCCTGAAGCGAAGGCCAACCAGAACGTCAGCTCTGAAATCACAGCTGACGGTGGGAGCAGTAAGAGCAGCATTCAGCTCTCCTCTGAGGGGCCTTTGCTTTATTCTGCCAAGTATCCTTGGCTCCTCATGAAATACTCAACAGACTGTCCTCTTAAGAGACTCTGGCGTTGCTAGGGAGACTGACCATCTGTTAAGGTAGGGCTGCTTGTCACTGTTCTGTGTGTTTGTGTGGGAGCGTTTGTAAACGTCCCAAAACTGGAGATCTGTACATCGGAGATTCCAAAGATAGCTGCGACTTCACACCCTCACACACACACACACACACACACACACACACACACACCCCGCTGCTTGAGCGGGCAATCGCCCATCCTTCTGGTGACTCACAACGTGTGTTTGAATGTGCTTAGTAGTTATTTCAAGAAGAATCAGGTTGATGATTTAGCTTGTATTCCCAAGCTGTAAGCTGATTTCAATAAATCCTCCAGTGAATAGACGACTTTTACAAGCACTTTCTACGTGCAGCTGAGAGAACGTCTTTTTCCAGTTGTGTTATCTCATAGAAACATCGACTAATCAGTGCTTTCTTTAATCCCAACAACCCCTGCAATCCCCCCTCTGCAGTCCCAGAAAGGAAGCAGGTCCAAGCATGCCGAGCCGGAGGTGAGCAGCAGTTGGGTTGGAGCCGAAGACCTGAAAAAAGTAGAGGAGGAGCTGGACGCGAGCATGGACCCCAACGGCAGCCCCTCCCGGTGGAAGCCTTCCCCGTCTGCCTGTTCCCCCCAATCCCAGGGTCAGTATGAGGACACGGGTCAGAAGGCAGCCGGGCTAGCCCAGATGTCCCAGACGGGCTCGTGGAGGAGGGGCATGACGGCCCAGGTGGGGATTACCCCACCCAGGTCCAAGGGGACCTCCGCTTCACTCAAAACACCAGGTGGGAGAGGCAACCTTGACTGGATTAAAAGAAACACTGTGCATAGTAAAATAAATTCTTATTGTGTGGCTGCCTTCTTCCTTGAACATTTTCACAATTTACAACCCTAAAACTCAAAGCATTATATCAAAACTTTATTTGATTACAGAGTAGTACATGTACTTTCAGACTGAGCAGGAAAGCATTGATCAGAGAGACAGCCAAGAGGTCCAAGGTGCCTCTGGAGGAACTGCAGAGATCTACTGCTCAGGTGTAAGAACCTGTTGATCGGATGTTGGTTGTACACTCTACAAAGCTGGTCTTAAAGGGGCAGTATTATGTAAAATCGACATTTTGACTAGCCAGCGTCAATTAGCAAACAGCTGCGCTCATTATACAACGCTGGTAAAAACATTGTTGGAGTTAATAGAGGAGACATGTTGTGTTGACTTCCTGAAAGTCAGAAAAGAGCAGGTATTTATTAAAGAGACAGAGGCCCAATTACTAGGAGTTAATTTTCTTAGTCAAACAAGTCAAACAATTGCTTCATTGTAGTATAAAATGGCCCTATGTGCCATAATATTGTCTCTTAGTGTTGTTTTGGTAGGTTTCCACCAGCTATAAAATGAGGACAGCAAGTGTAGTATACAGTTTGAAGGGTTATTGTCTTGATCTCATAAAATTCCAATAAAAGTCCTTTGAAATCCATGTGTCTAGGTATAAATTTAACTGCAGGATGCTATCGGATAGCATCCTGCCATCTGATAAAAAGATGGCAGGATGCTAAATCTGTGGTTTTTATTGTCTGTTTTGCAGGTAAAACGGATGATGCCAAGGCCTCAGAAAAGGGCAAAGTACCCTCCAAAAGCTCTGCTGGGATACAGCGCTCACCGTCAGATGCTGGGAGAAGTAGCGGGGATGAAGGCAAGAAGCCTCCCTCTGGAATTGCTCGCCCCCCTGCCACCAGTTCCTTTGGATACAAGAAGATCCCTGGCCCTGCCGGCACGCTAATTACCTCAAGTGGTGCAGCCCTCACCAGTGGCTCAGCCACACTGGGCAAGGCCCCCAAATCGTCGGCTGCCCTCGGTAAAGGCACGAGCATCGGCGGCGTCCGTAAAACCAGCCTGGACGGCTCGCAGCCCCAGGACGACGGCATTCTCCTCAGCTGCAGTGGCTCCAAGGTCACCCTGCAGTACCGCTCCCTCCCTAGACCCGCCAAATCCTCCAGCGGGGCGGGGGCGGCAGCGGCGGCAGTGGCCGGGCGCTGCGGACACCGCTCCAGCTCCAGCAGCATCGAATCAAACGTCAGCAGCAAGTCGGCGATCGGGGCAGCAACACAAGCGGGTGCCAAACGGAGGGAGGGAAAGGTGGTCTCAGACCGCTCCAGTCCCATCACTGTCAACCAGACGGATAAAGAGAAAGTCGGGGTGTCGGACCAGGACCCGGCAGCAGGGCTGTCCACCTCTCCCAAATCCAGCCCCACCTCCAGCTCAGCGGGCCAGTCAGGCCTCAGGCAGCCAGGGTCCAAATACCCAGACATCGCTTCGCCTACCTTCCGCAGGTCAGACCCAGAATACTTCTCTTCTGCTCTCATCTGTCTTGGTCCCTTGTTTTCTTGTTGGGTTTTGCGTGAATCAACCATTTCACCGCATAGTTTCTTTTAATTACGTTTCTGAAAAACTTTCATAGTATGGTAGGTGTTCAGGAACAGGCTCAGGTCTCTTCCAGAGTTCATCAGGTTCATTCAGAAAATCAGTCTGAGCTTCAGTGTGGTTTTTCTTGAGTGATAAATGCAGTGCTCAGATTTTTTTTCCTGTTCCCAAGACTCTGAGAGGACAGCTGACACATGACTGCTCCCCCATGGATTAAATATCCTCTGACATCTCTATCAATTTTTATCAGGGTGCACAGAGTAAATATAAACCAGTAAGCTAAGGGATGTTGCTACATAGACTGCCCCCTAGTGTCGATGATAAGCAACTGCAGCTAAAGCTTTGTTTAGTTTTGATTAAATTCCACCAAATCCTGTTCAGAAGTCTAGATCAGAGATCAAGTTAACAGGACATTTCTTGACACCCAGTCTTTGTTTTCAAGCTGTAGCTTAGTGCGTGTTTGGAAACAGTCTTGCCATACCAGCTGGTTCCATCTGCATGTCTACAAGCTTCTTTTTCCTCAGAGAATTATCTTTGTGTTTTTTTTAGTAAATATTGCTATGACTGAAGGGTAGCAGGATTGAAGGTCCTAACAGATGTTTTCATATGGTTGATATGGCTGCAGTTGCAGCAGGTGATGAATGTGTTTGGAAGGGTTTTGTCTGTGGGAAGATGCCATAAAGCTTCTTTGTTGTTACATATACAGTGCCTTGCATAAATAAGTATTCACACCCCATGAACATTTTTATGCTTTGTAGAAAAAGTGTTTTTTTATGTCAACACAAGGTAGTGCACAGTGGTAGGCACTTTTCGGCTAAAGTGCTATTAGCTAATTTTTCATTTAGAACTTTTGCTAACTTTGAAAATGTTTTGCACACTTAGCCTCCCCTAAGTCATTATTCCGAATAAATACTGAAGCGCTACTTAACTTGGCTGTTTAACTTGTAAATTTTCAGCTGTATTAAGTTTTATAAAAGTCCAGTATTGTTCCAGTATGGAGCTTGCAATCGCCCATTTGAGCACTTCTAAATGACTGCACCCACCTCTCTACCCCATCCTCCCCCCACCCTAGATTGTTTGGCACCAAAGCCAGCAGCAAGGCCAGCTCTCCGGGCACGCCCGACTCTGGCAAGTGCCCGTCAATACTGGGCAGCCCCCACGGCACGCTGGCCAGGCAGGCCAGCCTGGACTCGCCTTCTTCTGGCACGGGGAGCCTGGGCAGCGCCGGTGGCCTGAGCGGCGGCAGCAGCCCGCTGTACGGTAAAACCCCCGACCTGTGTACCGACTCGCTGGCCTCCAGCCCAGCCTCTGGCCTCTCCCTGCCCTCCAACGCTCGCCCCTGGCCTGCCTGTAGCTCGTCAGCCGGCAGCAAGGACACGCTGAGCTGCCAGAGTATGACCAGTCTGCACACCAGCTCCGAGTCCATTGACATGCCGCTGGGCCATCACGGGCCTAAGGTTACGCGAACCGGCAGTATCAAGTCCACCCTGTCTGAGGGGTGAGTAAGAAGAGAATACGATTGGGACGAATCGTATTCATTGTTTCATTTGACAACTGAGACAAAAAGTGTAGCCTTTTTACCTTAGGATCTAGGAATAAGAAGATAGATTGAATCACAGTGAGTAATACCAGTGATAAACATGAACTCATCCAGTATGAAATACATTTTTCTGCTCTGGTTTTGCAAAAGTAACAAAAACACAACAAGTCCAAACAACGGCAGAAAAAAGTCACTATAAATTCAGATCATTTCAGACATGCTCATAAGAAGTCTGTATCAGTGTATTCATTGTTTTGTCCACACGCAGTGCATGGAGTACAACACAGAATGTAGTCTCACGGCATACTTTTATAGTCCCTCACTAGTACAGCTGAATGTCTCAAAAATGAAACAATCAACTTTAAACACAGTGTTTGTGTGTGTCTTTAGTTGTTGTAGTTCTGCGTAGATGCATAATGTCCTGATGTTCTTTGCGTTCTGTCTGTCTCTGTGTGAACGTTCGGCTTCTTTTTCATGTGTCATGAAATACAAATGATTTGAGTGTTCATCTGATTGGCCCGTTCCTCTGTTTCAACAGCATGCCCCTTGACAGAAACACGCTCCCCAAAAAGGGACTGAGGTACAGCACATCTGCATCTGTAGTTCTCTGTTGTCTGTTTGCACTCGCATGGATCACCAGCGCATGTTCAAATGTTGTTCACACCACGGCCCTAAGCAGATATTTCCAATAGGTATTGATGTAAAGATTCAAAAAGATGGATGACTGCATGATTTAGCACATTTACATTAAATATACAGTCACCTCAACATTTACTGTGCCCCTGACTGACTGTGTCAAAACTCGTACTTTAGATTTATTTTGTTTTGCAGTCACTTGATTTTGGAAAAAAATAAATAAAATCCAACCTTCAATTTACTGAAGGAAAAACAATCCAGTTTTTTTAAATTATCAGCACCAGACTTTGGCGACCAATCCATTCACGTCACTCTAACTTGTCTTTCCATCTGCCATTACATCCTGCTGTCACTTTTGAACAATACACCAAGGTAGGGACAGACCCCCCAACCTATAGGTGTCAGTCAACCTTTTTCTGGTTGAGGTGAGGCTTAGAGGAGGTAGTCGCTTCACATTCAGCTGCTCCACTGGAGGTGATGGCCTGAAAAAAATAACGATGAGATCCTACCAAACTAGAAACCATCCTCTCCATAATCATGCCTTACGCTCCTGTCCGAGGATTGGGGAACATGTGCAACCCAGGCAGAGTCCAGGTTACTCTGCACTGTACTCCTGCATTATCCCTTGTAAAAAAGAAAAAAAACTTTGGGAAAGTAAACCTTTCCAGATCCACAAAACCCATGTAGTCTGGAAACCAACCTCTCATACACTCCTCAGCAATTCACAAGGAAGATCTACATCTGCTTCTTCAGATTCAGAGGTCCAATGATCAGTTCAAGCCTCCGTTCCAACACTCTACAGCACAGTTTTTGGGGTAATTTTGTTATTTAAGGTTGAGCTTGGAATGAAGTTAAATTTAGGCTAAACAAAACCATTGAAAATCAAGGTAGATCATCTCTGACGACAGTTTTCAGTATTCACTTTTTAACTACAATAAATGGTAAACGGACTGAACTTATGTAGCACGTTTTCAATCATTTTGACCACTGAAAGCGCCTTACACTGGAGTGACATTCATCCACTCGCACTCACATTTATACACCGATACGCAGATCGGTAGGCAACTTGGGTTGACCAGAGGCGCATCGACATGTGACAGGAGGAAGCTGGAACTGAGCATACAGATACTAATGTATCTGTATGCTAGTATGTCACAATGTTAGATGTTGCATTTGACACCACCTGCTAGTGAGAGTCTGACAGTGAAAACGTTCTCCTGAACCATAAAATTTCTTACAGATCCGCTTTGTACCACTCAGTTGAAATGAGGTATTGCATCTTTCCTCTTATGGCATAAACTCTCTAGTTTAACAAGCCTCGATCCTTTAAGCACTCTGTCCTTCAGTTCACCCCAAAGGTTTTCAGTAGGATTTCTGAGAGCAGACTGATAGGATATTAAGCCAAGGGAGAAAATTATAGTTTTTTTTTTTTCCAATTTAGCCTGAAACGAAGAAATAACTCAGATTTGTAGCTGTTCAATCTTGTATTTTAAGGGAATCCTTCGGAGCAGAGAAATGGCCTGGTTTCAAACTATTTGGTTGTGTAGACTGCCTTTGGTGCATTTGCTCTTTTAAAGCTTGAATGAATCTGCTGTCATGCAACTCTTTCTGCCTGTTTGATATGCTGCTCAGCGTGGACAGTGGTGACTTTTTGCAAAAGCTCCTTCTAAGCTCAAATGGCTGTTCACATTTCAGCAACGATCTGCTATACCCCAATTTTTTGGTTATTGGCTATGGAAGCTCAGGTTTCTTTCTACACTAATATTCAGGAAATAAGCACAGAGGTCCTGTTGATGACGATTTTGTTGGGAGAAAGTCAAACGGCTTGTATACATCAGTCTGCTATAACGTCAGCGACGAAAAATCCAACGTCACACTAGTAAGTAGAGTGTTATTTGCCCATTGCTGGTTGAAATAAAAAGGATGTACAGGGCAGTGATGAAAGCCGGGGTCAGATGTGACAAGTCTGGTAATGCTGTTAAGAAGGAAGGAGTGCAAACTCAATTATAATTCCCAGAGGATTAAATATGGCCGATTGTCATGTGTGAGATAAGAAGGCTTTCTGTTGAGCTGGAGATGGGGAGAGAAGAGTTGAATGGTACCGAGTGTTTGTGTGTGTGTGTGTTTCATTCATTAGCATGCAAAAGCTTGGACAACTGCAGTTCGTTTTCCTGTAAATTGTTAAATGATTGAAGGATGAACTGATGTAGCAACTCTTCAGCCAATACAGTGCTCCGAAAACTAAACCCAACACTTTGAACCATTTTAAAGTCTACTTGGCTTTGTAGCACCGTTGTTTATGGTGATTTTTGAGGAACCTCAACTAATGCAAATTTGAGTAGTCATTTATATTTTCCATCCCTAGCCATTTTTGTGCATTAAGATTGCACAAAAATCATGTTTTAGTATCCAACTCGGGTACAAAAGCCATGGTTTTGGTGCTTGTCTCACTTTGAAGTCCCAACTGAAACAAAACTAAGGTTAGTGCGACTGTCCTTGTCTTGGTTTTAAAGTCCCAGGTCAATATCATGGTTTGGCCCCAACCTGGAACTTAGAATCTCCAGTTCATCCTCACCTCAGTTTTGAAGCCTCTATTTCACATCATGGTGTGAGCCTTACCTTGGTCTAAGTCTTGACCAAGGTAAGGGTCAAGACTTTCCTTGGTAAATCTTGACCTTTACCTGCTCAAAAGTCCTGCTCAAAAGACTTCAAAAGACTTTTGAAGTCTTTTGAGCAGGACTTCAAAAGAGCAGGACTTTTGAATTTCTGCTCTCCATTCGGTTTCCATCACGGTTTTATCCGTTCCTCAGTTTTAAATTCCTGTTTGGTCCTAATCCGAGGTTTGGAGTTCCTGTTTGGTGTCATGGATTGAACCTTGGACTTGAAGTCACAATTTTATCTTGAGTCAGTTTTCAAACTAAAACTTTGGCAAGTTTAACTTGGTCAGTGTTTTACGTTGTCCATTACTAAAGATAAATTACTTTTTCAACCAGAAATGCTCTGTCAGATTAGCATGTAGTGTAGAGGATTAGGACAATTATAGGGCAGCTGTAATTTGGTAGCAAATGGTAGCAGTGTGCATTGACAAGTTGGGGATATGGTTGAGCGAAGGGACAAATTTACCCCAACCCATTGCCTGCGTGATACTATAAAGACTCCCGAGTTATTTGTTATGGTTATGGCTCAGTGTGGTATTGAAGGATTGTTTGAATGCTACAGGCAGCTTTGGTCACACACATTCATATTTATATGAAGGTTTTTTAAACCATCATACACATCTGGTGACTGATGGAAAGATTCAAATATTCAGATTTTTATTTCTTTTTTGCATGTTGCTGATTGCATAGTGGTGCATGTTTATTTACCCTCTGCTCTTGTGCATTCGCTGTGTACCTTCGCTGCTGCAGAAATAACCTGCTTAAACTTCTGAAAATGTCCTCCTGTCTCAAGTTCATAGTGGTTTCGTGACTTTCAGGTACCCGCCGTCGTCTCGGCAGACGTCCCACGAAGAAGGAAAGGAGTGGTTGAGGTCACATTCGACCGGGGGCCTGCAGGACACGGGCAGCCAGTCCCCGCTTTCTCCTCCCGGAGCGGCTTGCATCAACACTGGAAAATATCACTACTCCAACCTCTGTTAGTCTTTAAAAATCTCCTAATTTTATTATATTATCGTCCATGAAAATCCCAATTTCATTTGTGTTTTTCACTATTAATTTTAATGCAGGCAAAATATGAAAAATGCTTTATTTTGTGTTTTTGCAATGTTTCATGAATTTCAATCTGCATTTTAAAAAGGTCCAAGTTTAGTCTGAAATCATCCAGTTAAGATTTGGTGTCTCTAAGTAGTTAATATTTCAAGCTAGAGATAATCAAATGCAGTCGGGATTCATTAAAAACTGAAAAAGGCTCTTTAGTTCAGCACTTATGGGAAGCTTCAAGGCACAAGACAACTTTTCCATTGTTGGCAGCTCGTGGTTGTACTCAGCGCTTTAAAAAATATCCCTGTACTGTTTATCAATCCGTCACTTTTTTACTGATTTCCCCTACAGGCCACCACAGATATGATTTAGAATTTATTATTTGATGCTAATTTATCCGAGAGTTGTCAGTCAGTCCTAGTTTCACCAACTCCACAATAAGTAAAGCAGCTACAGGCTGTCCTTAAAATGGGAGCAGGTCACTAAATAAAATCATTACCTAATTTGCATAACTCACCATGTGCATCCAATTGTAACAGTTGTTAGAGAGAAGAATGGGGTGACAATAAAAAGGTTAAAAAAAAAATACATATCTAGCTTTTTTTTATATCTTAACCATCTGGTCTACTTAGGAGAAACAACTAAAACATACCATCTGCTGCTTGTTGAAAATAATAATGCATGTTTTCACATCAGAGTCTTCAAAAGTCATCAATCACTGTTTCCATCCAATGGTCATGTAAATGTTGAGCAAACTTTAAAAATTTAGCAAAAATGAAAATTTGAATTTGGCATGTTTCCAATCGACTGGTTTGGAGTGAATCAATCAGGCTACGCAAAACCTGATGACATCAGATGTTGAAGTTATGCGTTTGTGTAAAAAAAAAAAAAACAGGTAAATGTTTGTCAGAATTTAATCGACACACATGTGTTTCCATCTTTCCTTTAGTGCTTTGACACTTTTTTGAGAAAGTCAAAAACCTAAGCTAACTTAAGTGAGTCTAAAGATCTATTTTGCGAAATTGAGGAAATTATTTTGAATGTTAATGTTTCCATCAACCTTTTCTAATGCGATACATCCAGGTGAAAATTTCCCCCTAAAATTTTTTTTGATGGAAACGCTTCTAATGAGAACAAAAAAGTCAAGAGGGTTTGCCCTGCTTTGACAATAATACTCCACCAGAAGTCACACGTTGCTTTGCAAAACGATATTTCCAAAAACAAGATCATGCACTGAAAAAAAGTTTCTTTGAACCAACTTTTAAAAATAACTAATTTGTTTTTCTGTTTATTACATTTGCTCAAGCTATAATTCTCAATTTCAGAATTATTCAAATCAGAATTAATATCTTGAACAAAACTAATAAAATTAGCTGTGACAAATTTGAGTAACTTTTTAAAAAGTTAGTTGAAAGAAATTTTTTTTTGGGTGTGATAGCATATATTAATAAAGTGACTCATACCACTATATTGTCTGCATGTCATTTCTGCGCAGTAAGCCCAACCAACATCAACCAGTACAACCTGCCGCCAGGCAACAGCGGCAGCATGAGCCGCTCCAACAGCATCCCCGCTCAGGACTCGTTTGACCTGTACGGAGAGGGCCACCCACTAGGGGGCAGTGCGACCTCCCTGGAGGACCGACCCCGGGCCATCAGTCGCTCCGGTTCCTTCAGAGACAGCACTGATGAAGGTAAGACGGTGCTGAACTATGAACCTGGAATATGAACCATGAGAATAGAAAGAAATATGTTTGAGGTTAAAATAGTTGGGGGGTTTTTAAATGTCATCTGAGTTGTCCACACTGTGTCTCTGTCTCACAGTCCACGGCTCGTCCTTGTCTCTGGTCTCCAGCACATCCTCACTTTACTCTGCGGTAAGTCGCTCAATGGGGTTTAAGAAATCAAATAAAACACAATATGCTCCCTATAACATTCTTTTTTGTTTTTTTTAAGTGAAATTAAAGTAATCTAAAACTATCTCTTTCCTCTTCTAGGTCAATTTTGTATGTTTCTATTGAGGTTATATTGGAAATGTCTAAAGCAGCCTTAAATAACAGGAATACTGTTAGCTTCTCTAGTAGCGCAGGCTGTGACTCTGACGCCACAATCATGGAGGCAGCAGATTAGTCTTTGCGAGCAGAACTGATGTCCGTACACTTCTGTCTCATTACTGCAGCTTTCAAGTCGCTAACGTCTTTGTGCTCGTCGAACGAATCGCTTCGTTTCCTAATAAACAAAAAATAATTCTCATTTGGTTTTCTGGTGGATTTTTATCATTTTGTCAGTGATGGTGTCTTTTAGATCTTTTAAGTTAAGTAAGATTATCTCCCATGTTTGCTATTTAATCTTTTTCTGATTCGTCACATCAGAGGGGAAATAGCATCAGAGGAAATGGTTCTAACTGGAGTTTGCTTGTCTCTTACAGACTGAGGAAAAAGCCCACTCTGAGGTAAAACTGAGGGACAGAACAAGCATGTCTCTGTCTGCATGCTGTCTTCCTGCCCTGTAGCACTAAACTTTGGTTACAATTACTTGTGCTGCGTCGCATTTGTCATCAGAAGTTCAAATGTCTAATCTCCAAATTGGAGAACTCCATTGGTACAACTTCTGGTAGGGAGACTGTTGCAGCGGAGTCACTGGCTTGGATTGCTGTACAACAGATAGCCTAGCCACTGAGCAGAACAGTAAAAAAAACCTGATGGGTTTCAAACTTGCAACTGAAACGTTGCGATTTGGCGCAACATCAATCCGACAGCTGAGGTCCAGCTTCTGGTTTCAAGTGCAAGAAAGTCTCTGCCCACCAACAGATTTCTTCAGCTTTTTGCAACATTGAAATCCTTTGTGTTAATATGAGACGGAGAGTAAACCCAAGTAAATATTTCATGTAGTTTTTAAATTATTTAACTCATTAAAGGGAAAAAAAAAGCTGTCTAAGCCAATGAAAATCTGTTAAGGGCGAATACTTTTCTTATTGCACTGTAAGTCGTAAGTCGTTGCTGCTTTGTTTGGCTCGGTTTGTTTTCGCCTAGTGTTTGTCCAACCCAGCATGTTCCTCCCCTGTCTTTGGATCTCCTCTGGCTGTTTCCTTGTGTTTGAGTGTCTTGCATGTTCTGCTGTGCAGAGTTTCCTCTCCGATATAGTCCAACAAGGACAAAAATCGCTGACATTTGTCTCTCATAGCATTGGGCAGAACCAGCACCAAAATTTGAGCTACGGCTGTGTTTGGTTTAACGACAAAACAGTTTAACTCTATGTTGCATTGCTTTTCATGATCTTTTGGTGATTTGGTTTTCAAATGTAAACAACATTTTTCTTTTCTTTATTACAAAAACTAACACAACATGCATCTACTGCACCTTGATTTAATCTAATTTAGCTTCTTCTTCTCTTTTTTGTCTTGAGTTTGTATGTCTTTTAGTTGTCGTTTTATTCTTGTGTTTTAGCTCAAGTTTGGTTCAAACACTCTCTGAGATGAAGGGAGTTTAATGGATCACTGTGAATTCAATACAAGTGACACACTTGTGATATTTCCCCTGAAATAAAAAAAAAAATCTAATTTTCTATAAAATTACATTTTGATGAGTAAATATCCTTATTTCCACTAATAACTAGCCAAAACTCACAGCGCCTTCAAGAGCATTCATATCTTTTGAAGCTTCTACAAACACGTTGATTCTCCACATTTTGCTTTCACACAAAACCCTGGTAACACACACCGAAGTGTGTGGTTGTGTTTAAAATGTGGGTGAAAAACAAAACAAGAGTTATCAATGCTTTTGCAAGGCAATCCAATTACTGTGGATGACATTTCCAATGCAGATGTAAAATAAATCTGATTTTGGTTTGATATTTAATAGTTTTCTTATTTCTTCTTTTTCAGATATTTACATTATTCTGTACACTCTTACATAGAGTGAGACCATTTTTTCTTATTGTCTGTTAAGAAACCAGACTCGTTTCACGTCAGACAGTGAGAATAAAAAGGCATGTCTATTTGTACGTGTATGTAAATATCTGGTTGGAACCAACTGTGTGATCCTTGTTAGGAATATTCTCAGGTATTTGCAGGTTGTTAAACCAGGTTATCAGTCCATGCCTCTTGCTTTGCCTCTCATTGCCAACCTCTAACTGGGTGTGGTATGTTATTTGTTGTCCGTCTGGACCACCCCAGTTCTGTTTGACGTCAGCATGCAACATAGTGTTAATTTTGACTCTTTTCTTTTCAATCAAGGGCCAAACAGTCCAAAATTCCACGGTAATCCCCCCTCACTTTATGTTTCTTTACACTTCACTCCAATGTTTTTGACACACGTTACTGTGTAACTGCACTTTTCTTTCCTCATTGATGCTCATCAGCATGATTATCAAAAAGTTTGAAGTCTGTCTACATGGCGCACATTCATGTCTGCTCTCTCCCTCAAAACCAGCAAATCAGAAAGCTGCGGCGGGAGCTGGATGCTTCTCAGGAGAAGGTGGCAACCCTCACGTCTCAGCTGGCTGCCAACGTGAGTTTGTTTCTTTCAAAGGATTCCATTGAACAGCCGGCTCATTTCCATAATGGCCTCCTTTTGGAGAGCAGTTTGTTTCAGCTGTGGAGGAAATAAAAATCTTTTATCCATCCGTATTTTGTTCTCAGATGAGATATTTGCTTGTTGTGATCAAGCTGTGCGTATTGTCTCTTTGCATTTGTCTTACTCTGGGATTTTTTGTTTTTGCCAAAACAGAAATCACAGAGGCAAATGAGTGAAAATAGGGGCAGAGAACAACAGTTTGTAGGTGAAATAGTGATAGGAAACTCTCCAAATGCCTAACAAAGTCTTCCTGCTGCTAGATTGACAGTCTCAAGCATTGGAACGTGCGTCATCCTCCTGCAGTGCTAAGTGCTTGTTCAAGTGAGGAAGTAGACTTTGTCTCTTCCTGCAGTCTGATGCTTTGACCATAAAATAATGCAAAAGCAGTGCTGGAAACTGAACAGTGGAGAAACCTGAAGAACAAAAGAAGATCCATGTAGGAGTGATTTACAGAACTTTGCTCTGCATTGATAAACTGTAGTTTTGCCTTTTGATTTAATGGAAAACGTTTTTACCAATGTCCTTTGTGGGACAAGAATCTTGTCAAAGAGGACAAGATTCTCCTTTTCCCCTTTGTGGTGCTTTAAGAGTAGAGTTGATTGGCTTTTCAAAATTATGTCTACCAATTTGAGACATTTATTGGTGGCATTGCGACTCTTGAAGAGGGTATCTCATTCATTTCACATCACAACATTCAGAAGAAGTTTATCTCATTGGTGGCTTTAGAGAAGAGCGCTTCTTTTTTGGAGACAGGTTAACATCCTTTAGTTGTGCATCTCAGTTTAGGGATCTTAACTCTCTTTAGGAGGGTTAAGATCCTCAAGAGTGTTCTCAAGCTTGTTCCAAGGTTGTGGCATTGGAACAACCATGAGAAGTGCATCTCTTTATTTTAGACATTGTAATAGCTTTGAGATGTTCTCTTCATTGGAGACATCAGACAGCCCTGAAAGGGAAGACTTCTGGTTATGTAGTTATTTTATTTTGAGTGACATTAACTTTCTACCTCTGACCTCAAGAAGTTTGGAAAAAGAAAAAAAAAACTGCATGCAGCTCGAGTGGGCTCAAGTCCAAAGCGTAGGGCAGCTTGTTCTTCTCTGGGATGTGAGGCCGATCATCACCTCCCTTGTCTGAGGGGGTGAGGAGTCAGCTCACAGGTGGAGTTGGAAGAAGATGCAGAGTTAGTGGGAGGGGTACGAGGAGTTGGCATTTCTAAAGGTCACCACCGTTACAAATTCAGCCCTGGAAACTGAATTGGCATTGTTGGGTGTTCCTCTCTGTGTTTTATTTTTGGACTCGCAGTTCCTCACAGCTACTGAGGGAATTCTTCTTTCTGCAGACAGTTTTACCCAGACTGAAGGCAGAATGATAAAAAGAATGAATGTGTGTGAATTTGTGTGATTCTGACATTCTTTTGATTTGTCTGGGCACGCTGCCCATCTTCCTGTGACACACCAGGCCTGACAGGTGTCTCAGGGTGTCTGGCTGAGGACGACAGGAAGAGCAGGCATCACATACGAACAGCCACACACAGACGAGTACACACAAGCAAAAATCACAGCAGAGCAAACATCACTATTGTAGACAGAAGTCTTTATCAGACAGGCATTCATAAACACAAAGCCACAATTTTTAAGGCAAGACCAATTCCAGAGCGGCGCGGTCCTAAACGGACAGATTCAGCAGGACAGATGGTACGATTTCCTGAACCTGCTGCCATCCTTCATCGTGTTGCTGCTACATCCCCAGGTGACGGATTGAGTCACGGAGAAAAGCCCTTCTCTGATGTGTGTGCCACACATTTTACTCTGCAGTAGTCTAGAGAGATACAGAGCATGAAGAAATCCACGAGCATTAATTTGATCTGGTGAGATGTAACGTCTCCTCCAGGACGTCTTAGACTTTGTTCCTACTTTAAAAGTCCCAGCACCAGGTTTTAAGCTGTTAAGGAAAACAAAACTCTCCACATGTAGCCTAGTTAACTTCTCAGTTGCCTTCATCAACAATCGGTACTAATGGCTCTTTTAAACACACAAGTTATGTTTACTTCTGGTTTCGAGACGCAGTTCTTGTCAGAATAATCGTTGTTTTTATATTCGCTCTTACACCCTTCCACATTTTCTCAAATTAGAACTGTAAATAATGTGTTAATTGAATGTGATAAACTGCAAAAAAAAAAAAAAACTGCTTCAGATTGAATAATTGGGAAAATATGAGTTTAATCATTTTACGAAATATAGTCAATATTTTGGAGAACTGCTTTTTGACATTAACACAGTCATTTTTTTTTTTTTGCCCATTCCTTTTAGCAAAATATCTCAAACTCAGTCAGTTTTGCCACTGATTATCAATTGGGTTCAGATATGGACTTTGACTTGGCCATCCTGGCACATGATCAGACTGTAAAACAGTTCCAGTGAAGCCGTGGCTTTGTCTTGTAATGTTGTAATTGGCTAACTTCTGAAAGCAAATGGTTTCATAAGATTTTAATTTTAAAAATTCAAAAACCGAAAACATTTTCCGTCTACTTCCCAAGTAGGCACAAATCTGTGTTATCTTGTCACATTGACTCCCAACAAAATACAGTCAATTGTATAAAAAAAAAAACTGACTTTTTTGTGTTAATCATGTCTTATTCAGTGAAACCCAGTTATTCTGAAAATGAAATCGGAGCATCCTAAGGCAGACGTCTCTGTGTGTGTGCAGGCTCACCTGGTGGCCGCCTTCGAGAAGAGCCTCAGCAACATGACCTGCCGCCTGCAGAGCCTCACCATGACCGCCGAACAAAAAGTACGAGAAGTTACGCCTCACTCAACAACAGACTAAAGGAAACTGCATTCAAAGGAAGAGAAATAATTAGGAAAAGCAAGCTGTGCCATTTCATTAAACTCTTTCTGGAAAGGTAGAACACGGTGGAGGATTACTGGATTATTTCTGTTATCTTCAAAATTTGGGTGCTGCCAAAGTCTTGAGTCTTGCTAATGTCGTAGTTCCCCATTATCTCAAGATTTGCCTCACTTAAGACAAAGTTCGACATAGCTTGAACTGTCTGTCCTTCAAAAGAACTCAACAAGAGTTTCCCACTGATCACTGCATCAGCATCAGTATCTTTAGCTCAGAGGGCTGACAGGACCTGGTAGCTTTTTAATCCTCTAGGCGCTAAAGCAGACTAGAGGGAGGCCTTTGTCAGACAACACGGTTCTAACTTTTAATTAAAGCAGCCGCCCTATCTGCAGCTCTCAGTGGGCTGTGGTGGAGGGAAAAAAAGGAGGTTCCCTCTCCTCTGTGAAGTCAGCTCAACAAAGAGTGCAGCCTTTTTTCCCTTCCTCAGAGCAGGGGGCGCTGGCTCCGACATCTAATGGGGAAAACTTTTCCTCCTCCCTTTCTGCTTTATTAAAACCATTGTCAAAGCCAAACTTGGAGTACTTGTTCACATCAAAGCAGCTTGTGTGTCGATTCCAAAAAAAAAAAACTTCCAAAGTGCTCTAGTCTGGGCATATTTTGTTGCTATATGTGTTTTCTTCCAGGCTACAAAGATCCCATCCTCTCTTAAGTAGTGTTTCTGTGATGCTAAAAAGAGAACTTCCTGTTCTCGTCCTCGTTTTGCCGCTGCAGGAGTCCGAGTTGGCCGAGTTGAGAGAAACCATAGAGATGCTGAAGACCCAGAACACTGACGCTCAAACGGCAATCCAGGTGGCGCTCAACGGCCCGGACCACCTACACAAAGGTAGTGAAACCAGCAGGGTGTGCTCCCTAAACTACCACTATAGCTGAGGTGTTTGTGCTCCATTGATCTTTTTTTTTTACACTGCGATTCCTTTACTGCAGTTGGCTTGTTTTCTGAAATGTTTCAGATCATCACACAATTGTACATTCTAGACAAAGATAACCAGAGCTGATACAAAAAGCAGTTTTGAAATGATGGCTCCTCTCTGAAGCTTTGGGACTCCAGAGAACCACAGTAGGAGTCATTAGGCTCAGTGGGGAAAGCATAGCGTCCCGTTATAGACTCATCCAATAGGACAACATCTAAAACTCAGGATTCATGAGTCAAAAATAAGAAACAGACTCTGCTAAAATGGCATCTGAGTTTGAGTTCCAAGACCAAAACATCTAACCAAAAAGAAACCCAAAGTTTTATGTTTTCCAAAAATCTAAATGATCCCCAAAACTTTTAGAAAAACACTATTGGGTGATGAGACAAATGTGGATCATTCTGGAAGGTGTGTGTCCAGTTGCATATGCTGTAAAGCCAACTTCAGGAACAGGAAGGCTCGCCATGGATTCTGTTTTCTAGCAGAAACCCCTTAAAGGGGCGGTATTGTGTAAAAATAAACTTTTCCGAGCTTTTCGTCATGTTTTAACATCATCAAAAACATACCTAGAGTGTTGCTTTGAGAAATATGCATGAATCTCCTGAGGCAACCATTAGGCTGTGCAAAACGCTTGAGGGAACCAAGCGGCGCCTTCCAGAGCGAAGCTTCTGGGCTTTTTAAAACAAATGAAGATAACAAATGAAATTACACTATGTGGCTGGAAGACATGGCACTGCCCCTTTAAGGAGAATGCCCAGCCATTAGTGTGCGACCGAAAGGCTAAACTTTCATGACTTGTGCAACCGGACATTGATCCACAAGCAAACAAAAGGAAGACTTTAGAATGGAAAAGATGAAATAATTTCAATACCTAATTTTTGTCTAATTGTAATAATAAATTTGACTTGAAACATTTAAATGTAGCCAAAAAAAAACTAAAATGGAAGTGATCTGTGACCTTCTCCAGTCATGAAAGCCTCGGTCAGCGGTAGCAGTGACTGGCTGAGACCGTCTCAGTTCACCAGCCTCAGTGTAGCGTTACAAAGTCTTACGGAGGCAAAAGCCCCACACCAACCCTCACGTTTTCAGCCACTCTCCAGCTTAGTGTTTTTCGCACTGAGGATTGCTTTGTCTGTCTCCTTCAGACCTTCGGATTAGGCGGCAGCACTCGTCGGAAAGCATGTCCAGCATCAACAGCGCTGCCAGTCACGCCAGCATGGGCAGCTTGGGCAAGGACGCCGAGGATAAAAAGAAGAAGAAGAAGAGCTGGGTAAGTGGAAAGAAGAAGAAGAAGCGAGAAATTAGCATGAGAATTACACAGGCAGGGGATAAAGAAAGCTTCCACCACTGTAAGTGAAGTCACAGGAAGAACCGAGCGTTCCCAGGGATTCAGTAGCTCATGGAATCAACTCAGTTTCTATATGATTTTTTTAAGTCTCACATAATTATGCAGACACATTTGCCCACTCTTCCCAGGATTAAAGGAGTTCATTATTGCTGGCATCTGTATAAAGCTGCTGCCTTTGCGTTTCCATCAGGTTGATCTCTGGACTTTGACATGGCCATCCCAAAACCTTGATTCTTTTCCTTTTCAGTCCTCTTGTTCCAGGATTACTCCTGGGTTTGGGGTCACTGTCCCACTTTGGCTCAAACTTCACCTGTCAGACCGTCGGTCTCACATCTGACTCCTGAGTTTGTCTTATGCCGAGGAATTTCTGATCTGATGGAACCTACTCGGGCCCTGTGGGTCCAAAGCAAGCCCATATCATCACACCTCCACCACCCTGCTTTTGTTTTCCATGATTGGATAATCTTTCTTGCTGTAAAATGATGGAATTGAAGAGGTTTACCCTTCCCAGTCTGATGGAGAGCAACAACTGCTTCTTGTGGTTCATTGTAGTGTTTCTCTCTTGGCATTGTGCCTATGCACACTGGTAGAACTACATAAATCCTATAAGGAGCAACAGGAGTGTGATAAGTTTATCCCGGACCGTATCGACACACACACAGATCTCATTTCTTTAATGACTGCAGCTGAACAGTAAAGTCTGCAAAACCACTGAAATCTTGTTACACTCTTTGAACTAAAGATGTAAACAAAAATGTGTTTTAAGTGGAAAATGTTTCAACTCACCAAAAATCGCCTTTTTCATCATTTTGTCATTGTTCGGTGCCATTTAAAGATACAGTATTTTATTAATGTCTCATTATTGTTAACATTCAGATTAAAAGTCTGACTGAGCACTTCCTCAATGTTGCACAGCACAAATATTTTACTGCTATAGACATCGGGAGCCTTAATTCTTTTCCTACTGTAAAGTCATTGAGATTTCTGGAGTGACTGACTCTTGAAAAGCTCATTTGTTTTTTATAATTTCTCTTTTTTGCTGTTCATGTCGGTATTTGTGCATCTGCTTTGTGATCACATCACTGAAGTGCCTTCAACATTTACCGCTCTACATGTCTTCCTGTTGCTCTCACCTTTGACTTTTCATTATCAAACAACTGAATTCAAGACTGCCAACAAATCAGGTCAGAAATCCTGATCAGAATTCAAAACCTTCCTTCATTCGTTCTGGTTTTGCTTCTTGCTGTTCTGCAGCAGCTCACCGGTCTTTATTTGCTGCAGCTCCCCCGAGTCAGTCGACATATTAGAAGTTCTGTCTCGACCTCTGTTGCAGAAAATAGTACTTGAGGAAAATAAATGGTTCCCCATAAAATGAAAGCTAGCAGCCATAAAGGTCACCAGCTCGATCCAATGCTGCTACTGCAGCAAAAATTGCTCAAATTATTGGTGGTTCAAACAGAAAGGTGCCAGAATACACAGCACTGCTAACCGCTAGTCAGCAATGCTAGCTAAAAAGTTAATTGCGCTAACCCTAAAGCACTAATCATAAACATTGCACTAATGCTGAGGCGCTATACCAACATGGTATTTAGCTGAAGCTAATGCTAAAGCACTAAATTAAACTATGTTTACATGTTTTTCAACATAGTATATCGCCCTCAGCAGGGTCAAATCTGTCATTGCACACCTACCTATATGGTTCAGGAAGTGATTCTTGGGAAAATTCTTCTAACTTTTTTTTGCTTTTGCTAAATTTGACCACATTAGGGCTTCCATCAGAAAGCATACAGGACATCAGCAGATCTTAAGCTGTTCACTGATGCATTCAGGGTAAAGAATAAATGGTTACATTTATTCTTTGAAAATTAGAAATTTTCAATGTATCTAGAAAACTTTACTTAGGAGAATCTAAGTGTTAAATGTTTCCAATGGAATAAAAATCAGCTCTGCTATCAGCAGATTAGCGGAACGGACGATGGATGCATTTTGTGTGCAAGACAATTCATATTGTTCACAGAAAACCCAAGAGTAAGAGTTTAAAATCACAGACATGAATTTAACAAACTATAACTAAGTAAATGCAAGGAAAGGATCACTGACTAATTCAATTTAAGAAAAAGTTGATAATACTTTTAGCTGTCTCAACTTCTTCCCAGTTGAGAAGAAGTGTTTTCAGCCTGGATTTAAACATTGTCAGAATGGAGGCCCGTCTCACTTCTTCAGAGAGACGGTTTCAGATTTTAGGAGTATAACACTGAAATGTTTTGTCCGGTTGCTGTAGCTGTTTGAACATGGATGTGTGTCCTCCAGACCACCTATCCATCCATCCATCCATTGTCTGAACCCGCTTATCCTTGCAGGGCTGCTATTCCCGCACTCCAAACAAAACAGGTTCCAGACGGATTTTGCAGAAATGTCTCCCGTTCGGACACAGTTAACTTTCCCAGTCAAATAAACTGCTGTCATTGTTCATCCCTCGTCCAGCTGTAGTGACTGTACTTTCTCTGCCATGCTTTGTAGAACACAGCCACTCTCAGCTGTTACTCTGAGTGAATACAGTCTGCTGTAGATGGGTGTGTATTGAGCATGTGTGTGTGTGCGTTTGCGTGCCTTAACGTTGGGTGTGTTCTGCATCTTCAGGTGGCTGATTCCATCCCAGCTCAGGTCAGTGGTTTCCAGAGTGTCTTCCATTTCAGTTTTCCACTAGTCCTGTCCTAATCACCGCCCCTCCTTCATCCATACTCCTTTCTTTGGAACATTGGCATGGATACAGCAACCCTCCTCCCCCGTTTCTACCCTGTTTGTTTGTTCATCTCGATTGCCTGACACCCCCCGGCCCCTTACCTCATTCTCATTTCTACTTACGGCCTCGCTTTTCTGCCTCTTTGCCTAAAACAGACCGCGGTCATTGCTTGGAAACGAGTGACGCCCTGATCTGACGCGACGCAGCGTGGCAGCGGAAACCCCGTCAGGAACTAATGCACGCTCTCTTGTTTTGTGCTTTGCAGCTGCGCAGCTCTTTCAAGCAGGCATTCAGCAAGAAGAAAAGCAAGTCGCAGTCGGCCCACGACGAGATGGAGGAGATGACCGACTCTGTGCCCTCCTCGCCCAAGCTGCAGCACGACAACAGGCAGGGCAGCATTGCCACGCTGCGCTCCTCCCCCTCCACCACAGAGTGAGTCCGCCACGCACGCCGACACTGAAACACACAGTCGCCTCTTTGGTTCCTTTTTCTCCTTTGAGTTAATTTCATTTTCCTTTGTTTCCTTTAAACTAAAATCGTCACCTCACTCTCCCCTCCAAACACTTTTTCTCTCTCTCTCTCTCCACATTTTTCTGAAATGTTTCTCAACCTGCCGTAGCAAGTGCATTTGCGACAGCAAGTCCTCCCCAATATGGATGCCAAAGAAAAAGCATAATGGTCATGTGGTCTACAAACACAGATCTCGGTAACAGGCCTGCTCCCCGGGAGTGTGTGTGCACTGGATTGTGTTGGTGTGACTTTTCTCTTTTCGTGTTCAGCGCCTTTAAATCCTGATGAGGAACTCAAACGTTATCCACTGAGACCATTCACACCCCATGCACTTCTTCTCCCAATTTCTTTGACGTTACAAACGAAAGATTGACGGAGCTACACAAAGAAGGGCATAATCGAGAAATGGAACGGAGTTTAGACATGATTTTCCAACTTTGATTTATTCTCTCAGTTCAATTGGGAGTATAACAGCAAATGTAAAATAAATAATGCAAAAACCGAAACGGACTAAAACAATAAGTTGACTACGTTGGTCAAACATGTAAAAATAAACTGCAGCAAACTTTCTTTCAAATAGTTCACCAAGTGCAATTAATAATTCCAAACATAATGTAAACTAAAGAATAAAGAATGACGTCGCTCAGAGCACAAATTATAGAATTAGGATGAATACCTCAGCCTTTTTGGGTCAGGCACATTGTCACCGATACCCGATCTAGAATTTTTTTCAATAGACACCGATACAGATATTAGTATCGGATCACTTGAGCCGTTTTTATTTTTATTTACAACAGAAACAAATACAGCAACAAAACGAGCAATTAAGAAATTTGATTAAACAGAAACAGCTAATGAAATGTGATCCAGAGCAAGTTTCAAGAGAGATTTACCTTTTTGTTTTGAACAGGGGAAAAAAATCTGCATGTTAAAAGCTGCAAAGGACTGGAGTTGGAATGAAATGTTCAGATTTTTAGTTCTAAAGCCTTTACGTCTGCTCTAATTTGTGGTGGTCTATCATATAAAATCCCAGAGAATTTGGAAAAGTTTGAGGAGTATGAATACTTTAGAAACGTTGCACACAGTCGGCATGCAGCCGCTGCTGTGAGGCAGCTGGTGAGATTATTCCACTTTAACATGTCAGGCATAGTTTTCCTCTGGCATGTGGAAGGTTTTCACACATAAACGCATGTTTTCTGGGGGGTTTTGAAAAGAGAAAAAAGACGAATCTTTCCCTCTCCAACAAACCAAATTTTCTCTTGTAAAAACCTGAACCAAAGTGCCTTGAATGGGAGCGATTCGCTGTTCCAAATGCTCCTCTTCCCCATCTCACCTCGCTGACGGCCATCGTCGCTGACCTCCCCTCAGAACTCGAGCTTCCCTGTTTCCAGCATATTCTTCTCCAGGTTGTGTGTGTGCTGTGTGAGTTAGTTTGGTATAACCCCAGAAGGTGACCCTCCCTTCCCTCTGCCCTCCTGCGCTCCTCCCTCCCTGTTTTTTAATTGCCGCTTCAGGCTGTGCGAATGCACGGAGGTCGAGGCCGAGATCATCCTGCAGCTGAAGAACGAACTCCGGGAGAAGGAGCTGAAGCTGACCGACATCCGGCTGGAGGCTCTCAGCTCGGCGCACCACCTGGACCAGATCCGGGAGGCCATGAACCGCATGCAGGTGAGCCTGGAACCGGCCGGGAAAACCTGGAAAATCAATCGTAGAACCACACACCAGCTTGGCTTCAGTAGCTTCTTTTCCTCTAATAAATATTAATGCAAAAGCTTATAACGGGGTTTTAGCAAGTATAAAAAAGTAAAAAAAATAAAAATAAAAAATGGAAAAGCTCCACTATGTAACTTTTATGAATGATATTTTTTTACGTTGTTGTTGAAACTGTCACCATGTTGTGACACTTCGGTATGAGACAGATGATCTGTGAAAAAATTGAGCTCCTCTTCCTTCTCCCTGTGCTAGCAAGAAACGACCAATCAGAGCCAGGAGGCGGGTCTTAGCGCTGTCAGTCACCCTCACATCGCCCTCTGTTATGCTTCAGCTTCTCTTCACTGTCAGCAGACTTTCACAAATGCTAAGGCTAGTTAGCATGGCCAACGATGATGGAAGATAAACGGTTTTATTTTAAGTTTTTTCTCCGCCATTAACACATTTAGCAGCGAATACATGAGGTTGATCGACAGCACTAAGACCCGCCTCCTGGCTCTGATTGGTTGTTTTTGGTTGGAGCATTTCTTAAAACAGCGATAACAGTTTAGGGAGGAGATTGAGTTTTTCACGGATTATCTGTTTCTTACCGTCACAACAAAAGGACAGTTTTAACAAATATGTAAAAAAACTTTTTTTTATAAAAGTTTCATACTGCAGGTTTAAGAAGATTACTGCTGATTTAAAAAAAAAAATACAGATTAAATTTAATCTTTTTTTGATGAAGAAACTTGAATCTTCTTTGACAACTAAATTGATAAATAGTTTGTTAAAAATGTTAATTTGAAAGTTTCTGGTAATGTTAGTTTTAACAGTCTTAAAAGGTCTTTAGAAGGTGTTAAATTTTACTTACAGAAACCTCCAAGAACCCTCTTAATACATAATGTTGTTATTTTCTTATTTCAGCTCTATTGTAGCTGTATCAACAAATGACTTGCTTATTTTTCAGTCATGCTTTGCTGTGACTCCATCTTTAAAAAGCAGAGCATGCAGTGAAGGAACATGTCAAATGAACATGAACGCCTCATTTAAGTGGATCTTTGTACATCTGGATTATCCGGTTTGTAGAAGCCTTTCTGTCTGCCCTCAGATCTCAGGGATCATTTTAAACTCTTTATCTGAGACTTAACTTCAATACAAAGGAGGCCTTAAAGATCAAAAAAAAAAAAAAAAAGCCTTGCAGCACCATAATTCCAGTGCTACGCATTCAGAATAAATAGCTGCCAGCCGTTGGGAGTTGCCGTCACTTTATTCCTCCGACCCGCAGAACGAGATCGAGACCCTGAAAGCGGAGAACGATCGGCTCAAGTCGAGCGGGAACGCCACGCCCACGGCGACGCCCGTCAAGACGGCGCGCCCGCCCTCCGAGGCCTCCAGCACGTCCTCGTCCTCCTCGCGGCAGTCGCTGGGGCTGTCGCTCAATAACCTCAACATCACTGACACCATCATGTCAGGTGAGTACGCTGTCCATCCCGTCGGTCTCCAGTGACAAACAATGTCGGCTCTGAACTCTAGAGGTTGTTCAAATTAATTTTCTACTTTGTCGGTTTAAAATTTCTCTCTCCATTCACCTGTAAATACCGGAGAACTGCAAAGGAATCTGGTCGAAAAGATTTAATTCAGCAATAAAACGTTCCCCTCTGATGACCCGCAGCAGGACAGAACCCTATTCGGCAACGAAGTGGAGAATATCTCCTGACTCGGTCCGTTTCAGAAGAAGTAGTCTGTCCGTTTCGCTCGTTCAGTAATTAACAGAAAAGGCTCGTTAACTGATGGTGAAATGATCGAAGAGCGATGGCACGTGGACGAAGGGAAGAACCGGCTGTTATCACCTCAACGCAGCGCATGCAGCAAGCAGGAGGCCCACTGAATACCAAGTGGCCCCTTCCTCACTCCAGAATATGGTGCAGAGAGAAAAGCATTCAGTGTTGAAGTGTGAAGTTGGATGTAAACTGACATCGGCTAAGTGTGATGTAAGATGTTGTTTTTGTTGGAAAAACGCAGCCATTTTTTGCAATAAAATGCAGAAAAGCCTCGGGTTCATCGGCTGACATGTAGGTTTGATTCTGGGAAGAGATGAAGGGCATATGGAGGAGCATTCAGCAACCTGAGAGCCAGGAGATAAAGAACATATGAGAAATGAACTGTGTAAAAGTAAAAAGAAGAACGACGTCCAATGTGTCGGTCATGTCAACAGTTTGGCAATGTTTTTGATATTCAAAACTAATCAACAGTTATCAATATAAGTCTGCTGTTTTACCCATTCTCTGAAGTCAGTTCTCTGTGCAAATTATTGAAGTTCTTCTGAAACCAAACTCGGTCATCCATATCTTTATAGGCATAGTAGCATTTTGTGAACTGGTGGTCAGTCATGATGGGAACCATCCCTAAACTGTTCCTATGGAGTTGGGAGCATGAAATTGTCCAAAATGTCTTGGTGTGCTAAAAATATTGGGTTCCTTTCTCTGGAGCCTTGGGACCAAAACCAACCCCCAGCCCCCGCCACAATCCCCTTCCCTAAACTTACACTTGACACAATGCAGTCAAGAAATGCAGTTCTTCTAGCAACCATCACACCCAGACCCATCCACCGGATCCATCACTCAAGACAACACAATCGTCACTTTTATAGACACTGTTGTGTTTGGCATCACCCATGACGATGGAATGCTTGGACTGTGCTGCTTGTCCATCTTGAGAGACTGTGCGCCAAATTTTACAGAATATACTTCAGTGACTGATTTGTTTGTATCTAGTTATTGTGTTAATGGAACGTCTTCCTTTCAGATATTCTCCTGGATGACAGCTACGAGGGAAATCTCCGTAAGGAAAGTCGGAGTGTGCGGATAGTTGTCACAATCAGCAGCGGGCCAAAAGGCACCAAGGTTTGGAGATGACCAGTCATCCTGCTTGGATCACAAAAATATATCCGTATTGTTTCTGATTTTTGCTTTAATTTTTCTGCTGACTCTTCAGGTTCCACACAGCCACGAGTACCTGATTGGGTCTATAGGTGTTAGCGGGAAGACCAAGTGGGACGTCCTGGACGGGGTCATCCGGCGGCTCTTTAAAGTAAGCAGATCCACAGAATTTGACTATCTTGAGTCCTTAGAGGTCGGAGACGATGTCAGGATTTGAATGGTGAACCGTTTACGCTAACTCAGGTAGAACAGTAAGGCTATGCTGTTGATTCTAAAGTTTGATTTCTTGTTTTCTTTTGCTGAAATCTGGTGATTTTTGACTGGTTGTTCAAACTATCAGGCTTCCATGTGAATAGTTTACAACAGGAAAGCAACCAGGATGAACAGAAGAAGAATATAGACGTCACAGCAGCGCTCTGTTTATGGAAGTAATACTGGATGCCCGTGTATGGTTGGATTTTAAAGTATATTTATACGGGAGCCGACAGTATTGTCACAAAATCATAAGTCAAAGGAAGCTAAGAAAAATAAACCACAACTAATAGCGCAGCAAGAAGGTTCTGGGTTCGATTCCCGGCCCCGGTCTTTCTGCATGCATGGGTTTTCTCCGGGTACTCCGGTTTCCTCCCACAGTCCAAAAATATGACTGTCAGGTTAATTGGCCTTTCCAATTTCTCCATATTGCCCCTAGGTGTGAGTGTGTGTGTGTGCATGGTTGTGTGTCTCTGTGTTGCCCTGCGACAGACTGGCGACCTGTGCAGGTGACCCCGCCTCTCGCCTAGAACGTTAGCTGGAGAGGCACCAGCACCCCTCCCAACCCCACTAAGGGACAAGGGTGTTAGAAAATGGATGGATGGATAATAGCAAAGCCCTTTTGTGGTGTATTTATCGCCACAAAAGGTGATTTATCTGTATTTATCCAGATTTATCGCGTCTGGCTTCTTCTGGTGCAGAATTATGATTTATGTCTCACATTAATGACGTAAAAGTCAATTAAAATAACCGTTCAAACTGCAGATGCTTTGAATTTGTGCCACATATGGAAGTGGCACAAATTAGATTTTTTTGAGGGGTGAAAAGCTCAGATTTGGGAAAATCGCAAGATACACCACCATTACTGTTCATGTTTACTTTGTCATGCGGGATGCTTTTAGGTCACTTGCGGTTCACACAGGAGATCGCAAGCAAGTTGAAAATGTGAACGACAACTCAAAGCAAAATGGGAATTGCGCCTATAGGCCTGCAGTGTGAATGTAGCCATAGCTAGCATTGGCGCTAAGCTGCCTCTGCCTCCGTCCTGCTGCAGGAGTATGTGTTCCGGGTGGATCCTGGGACCAGCCTGGGTCTTAGCTCTGACAGCATTGTGGGATACAGGATGGGGGAAGTGATCCGCTGCCATGCCTCCGAAGTGCCTGAGCTGTTGCCCTGTGGCTACCTGGTGGGCGACAACAACATAATCAAGGTTCACCTCAAAGGTACGCTGACAAAAGAATCTCTGTCAGGGTTTTCCGTGGGTTTCTTGCTGGCATTAAGCTTCCTGATGGTTAAACTCAGACTGTTATCTTGTGGGCCGTTGACCTCTCCATCCGTCCTGATCGTAGGTGTGAAGGAGAACAGCATAGACAGCCTGGTGTTCGACACACTCATTCCAAAGCCCATAATCCAGCGGTACCTCAACCTGTTGATGGAGCATCGGCGGATCATCCTCTCGGGGCCCAGCGGCACAGGGAAGTCCTTCCTGGCCGCCAAGCTGGCCGAGTACATCATCAGTCAGATGGGGCAGGAGGTGACGGAGCACAACGTGGCCAGTTTTAATGTGGACCAGAATTCCAGCAAGGTATCAGAAACCCGCAGCTCGTCTGCTCTCGTGTTTGATTTTCTTCCAGGAACATCAGTAGATTTTCTGTGATGCAGCACAAAGAGGAGCACAACTGAAAAGTGAAAGGAAAATACAGCCATGATTTTTAATGTGTTTTACTGATGTAATTCTGAAAAGTGTGGCGTGTAGTCAAAGTTCCAGACTTTAAAATAGCTAAACCTGTGATTGTCTCAGTATCAGTTGTCAGGCATTTCCACAAGTTCCCTATCAACCTTAATTTCTATTGTATGAATATTCATAAATGTGGAGGATTTCATTATGGAAAGTCTACTCCACAGTCTAGACAAATATTGATTGATATGAAAATATTTGTAGTTTACATCCTATTGTCTAAATGTTGTCCTTTGTGGTTACTTCACTGTCTCTAAATGCACCAATGTATTTAGAGTACCTTATAAATGAGGTGTAAATACGTTTAAGGAGTATGAATACATTTACAAATGGCGTGTTTGCTGTTGTTGGACTTGATTGCTCAAAATCAACAACTGCTTCCTCCCACAGGACCTGCGTCAGTACCTGTCCAGCCTGGCAGAGCGCTGTAACTCTGAGAGGACAGACGCAGAGCTCCCCCATGTGGTCATCCTGGACAACCTGCACCACATCGGCTCGCTCAGCGACATATTCAACGGCTTCCTCAACTGCAAGTACCACAAATGGTGAGGAGGACTGGAAACGCCGCGCGCTCCATCACAACTTCCACCAAGTCGACTCGAGTCCCATCAGCGAACTGAGGAAACGTTTGTCGTAGTTGAAGTGACCATGTTTTGTTTCTCTTCCTTGTGCAGCCCGTATGTCATCGGGACCATGAGCCAGGGAGTCTCCTCCTCTCCCAACCTGGAGCTCCACCACAACTTTAGGTCTGACGCCATTTTGTGTTCAATTCAAGCTCAGCAAACAGAACTAACACCGACGGTATATTTTTCAGTCACATGATCATCGACCAGTTGTTATTACTGGTGCAAACCATAAAGATGAAGAAGACAGGAAGTAGATAGTGAGAGACGGTGCAGCATGTTTTTAAATGATTTAGCTTATTCACATGTGATTTTAATTGTTTGTTATTTAATGGACCAAGCTCTGCCTTCATCCTCAGAGCCTCATTCAGCTCCTTCAGACTAGCCAGCAGCAATTAGCAACCACCTGGTGAAACTGCACCTCCGCTGCGCTCATTAATAGAGCCGCCATGTTGTGATGACTTCTTAAAGGTGGAATTTCAGAGAGAGCAGGAGCTTCTTAAAGAGACAGAGGCTCAACATCAAGGCGCTAAATTACAAAGTCAAATTTCGTTTAAGCCACAGTTGATATATGCAGCATTTTTATAACAACTAAAGGTAACAGTTATTTGGTATAAAAAGGCACTATGTGCCTGGAAAACACAGAATAACTCCTCTTTGTGGGAATATTCATTTAAAATCCCTCAGAGAGTTAAATGCACCTTTTACACAAATGGATGAAATGTCTTCTTCTCACATGAAACACTTTACACTGATGAGTCGATGTCTTGCCCCGGTGTAGATGGGTGCTGTGCACCAACCACACGGAGCCGGTCAAAGGCTTCCTGGGTCGCTTCCTGCGCCGGAAGCTCGTCGAGACAGAGATCGATAAGAACATGCGCAGCAATGACCTGATCAAGATCATCGACTGGATCCCCAAGACCTGGCAGCATCTCAACGGCTTCCTGGAGGCGCACAGCTCCTCCGACGTCACCATAGGTCACTTCAGAACACACACACACACGTTAGCTTCTGTAGAGTTAGCAGCAGGCAGACATTTGAACGTCCCTCCATGTGTGTAATGTGTTCCTCTCTATTCACCGTAGGGCCTCGTCTCTTCTTGTCCTGTCCCATGGAAGTAGAAGGTTCCCGGGTTTGGTTCACAGACCTGTGGAACTATTCCCTGGTCCCCTACCTGCTGGAGGCTGTCAGGGAAGGACTACAGGTACCTAATACATATGTATGAGTGTATTTTCCTGGATCATACACATATAGTACAGCTGCATTTATTTCAAATTGACCAAGTAGGCCCCTCTCAAGATGACGCACATTATAACCTGAAAACGGGAGAAATAACCCTGGAAAACTGTTGGTTGGTAAATCTTGTAGTTGGTTCTTATTGATTTACATGGCCTTACGCTGCAAAAACACAAAATGTTATCCAGTATTTTCGGTCTAGTTTCTAGTGCAAGTCTCGTAGTGCACTTGAAATAAGACAAAACTGGCTTAAAAGTAACTTTTCAGTAGTCGGTACTTCCTTAATATTTATAATAAAGTGAAAATTCCACCGACATATTTATTAAAACAAAGCTGAAACTTACTTGTAAGTTAGTTTTCTTAATTTCAATAATATTTGCACTATAAACTAAATCAAAAATACTTGGTAAGATTTAGTATTTTTGCTGCATTTTTGAAGCATCTTTCATGTTACAACAATAAACGTAACATTGTATGTTACAGACCAACACAAAGTAGTGCATAAATGTGAAGCAGAAGGAAAATAATGCGTTGGTTTTTAAAAGTTTTTACTGATAGAAATCTGAAAAGTGTGGATTGCGTTTGTATGTACCCTTCCTAAGCTATAATTCACAGACACAACATACGCTGCGAAAGTCTTGTGGTTTTGCACATTCACTTTGGGCCAAAGAATGTCCTCAAATGGCCGATTGCGACAGAATGCGTTAATTTAAACGACCTAATAACAAACTGTTAAAATATTAACAGGTAGCTGTCTCTGCATTTCATGAGAACGTCTTGAAATTAAATGTTAAACATCTTTGCACCTTGATATACTCTGGTACTATACAAACAAAACTGCTGGGATTTAATGAATACAACATTTAAGCACAACTGTAATCTTGAAGGTTGTATTTTCTAGTCTAGTCTAGAATAAAAGCATCTTGGTAGCAGTGGATCTCTTTAATCTAACTCATTAAAGAGATATTAGGGCTTTTCCAGGTAAGGCATCAAAAACGAAAAGAATATTTCTTCACTCCTCCTTCCCTGCATATCTTTTGTTCCCGTCTTCAGCTGTACGGTAAGCGAGCCGTGTGGGAGGATCCGTCCAAGTGGGTGAATGACACGTATCCGTGGAATGCCGCCTCGCTGCAGCAAGAGGGCCAGTCGCTGCTCCAGCTGAGGCCGGAAGACGTGGGATACGACGGCTACAGCTCGTCCAAGGAGGGGACGTCGTCCAAGCAGGTGTCTCAGAGCGACACCGAGGGAGACCCGCTGGTGAGGACGGATCTGACTTCAGACGGTTCCATTTATTAGCCATGAATTATTTGCCAGGAATCATGGATTCACCCTCGTTTGCAAAGCGATGATTAAACAGAGAGTACAGTTTAAGCTAACGCTTTAAAGGGGCAGTATTATGTGAAATGGACTTTTTTGAGCTTTACATCATGTTATAATATAATTCCCTCATCAGAAATATAACCTGGAGTGTTGCTTAGATTTTATTTTTATCATGTTTGAGAAATCCTTCAGTCAAAACTTGTGGGTGGACGGTAGCTCCGCCTCTGAGCTTGCTTCAGTTTCCAAGCTTCCAAGTTTCTACCTAAAAGAAACTAAGAGTGTGACTCCCTCACTCAGCTCCTTTAGACTAGCCAGCAGCAATTAGCAAACACCTGGTGGAATGGTGCATCTGCTGCGCTTGTTCTCAAAGCAACGCCAGCGAAACGTCGTTAAAGCGTTAATAGAAGAGCCATGCTGCGATGACTTCCTGTAGGCGGAGTTTCATAAAGAGCAGGAGCTTCTTAAAGAGACATTGGCCCAATATCAAGGCCCTCTGTCAAACTTCTTTTAAGATATATTTGATATACACATCATTTTGTAACAACTGAATTGTGCTTGATTGTGCTATAAAGTAATACGATGTAGCTGGAAATCGCATAATACTGCCCCTTTAAAGCAAAACTGTCAAAGTTGCAAATAAACTATTAAGGGCAGTGAGAGTAGAAAGTAAATGAGTGGAGAGAGAAATCATTCCTGCTTGGTGGGTTATTGCAGCCCAGGAGAAATTAAAGGCTAGCCATCCAAAAAAAAAACCCGGCTGGCTTGATTTAACTAGAGTGTTTGTGCATTTTACACACACGCCTGTGTGTGTGTGTGTGCACGTGTGCGTGTGTGTGTGCGAACCCCTTCGTGTGCAGTTATTATCCTGCGGTGCCAAAAGCCGTTTTAGGAACACTGGAAGCAATTCTCCAGATGCAGCAGCACTTCTGCATTATTTAGATCATTAGCTCTGCAGCAGGGATGAAAAGTTCAACGGGTTTATGGCGCTGATTGACTGCAGCAGTTAGAAACGGCACAAAATACAGCTTGTGAAGTTTCATTCTTAAAAATGTAGGGACATATGTTACATTAGGAAAGGTAATGTAATAAGTCCAAACATTTTGTAATCGTAAAGCATCATATTGTTTTAAAAACCAAACTGTTTTTTATGCATCAGTAGGCTTTAAGCTGATGGTGAACATAAAAAGCAACAATCCAAAGTATTGGTAAATGCAATTTTCATAATCAATGCGCTTTTTCATTTGGTTCATTTAAACATTGAGTAAGAGAAGTCATGGTGCCTTCTGCTTGTACTGAGTAAATTTAGAGGGTTCAACTGAAAAAGCCTGTTGAAGTTAATATTCAGATATGAAATCTCAAAGGTTTCTCACAAACCCCAACATTTAACATGCCATGATCTTCCAATTACTTCCTGCAGTCGTCTTCTCTCTCTTTGTATTTTGTCAACTCTCAAACTTTATCCAAACTCTGTCCTAGGTTTGAACAAACACTTCTATCTGTTCATGTTTTATGTTCTGCAGATGAACATGCTGCTACGGCTGCAGGAAGCAGCTAACTACTCCAGCACCCAGAGCTGCGACAGCGACAGCACCAGTCACCATGACGACCAGCTGGACTCCTCCTTGGAGTCGGCCCTATGAGTCCCAAAACCAACTCACTTTAAACCTCTAAAATGGTGGAAAAACCTTGGAACCCCAAAGAACACATCCCCCTCCCAACACGATATGGAATTATCCATCATTATCCGGTCCTGCTGCAGCGGGGGAGCAACCTGGTCAGGCTGCTGGTCCACCACAGGACCCGCACTACAGATATATAATATATGAAAAGTTTTAATACTCAAAATATACCCTCAAATTGAAAGAAAATGCCTATATTTTAATGGTGCAATATGAAATCCGAATGTTTTATGCTGTCAGAGGCTTTACCAACTTGGTCCTTAGTGGTCAAAATGTCAAACCGAACCACAGGTTGGAGACTGTCTACATCACGTCCAACAAACCGTATTGTCCTGTTCATTCTTGTGACATTTTTATAAAAATGTCCGCGTGATTGTGATGAGAAACATCCTTACCTCTGGTGGTTTTTTCCAAAAGTGTTCTCAACAATAAGACACTTTTCCTCCGGTTTACTTTCAGACGTCGGTTTCCAGAGCGTCCCAGAACAACAAAACTGGATGATATTTTTTTTATTGTTTTTTTTTTTTTTGTTTTTGTTTTTGTTTTTTTTTACCCAGTTATATCTACAGATGTTTACATTAGTATGGCTGGCTCTGTTATGTCTTTCCTTGTTTACAGAGGTGCTTCTTACAGACACACACATATATGTACACACATAGGCAGCAGGGAGGAAATCCCCTCAGACAAGAACCTTTTATCGGTTCAAGTCCCTTCTTTGAACATCATCAAGAATGCCAGAGTGTCCTTGAGCAAGGCGCTCTGTCTCTACTGTTTTCATGGATGTCAGCTTTAACAGCGGGGCGTGAAAAGCAGAGCAGGTGTAGTTTTTAATGTCTTCTCATGGCCAAGTCTGACGCTTTGCACAAAAACTGGTGGAAAATGTTGGCAGGTTTGGCTAACGTTGTGGCTGATGTAGGACAACTTTGAGCCCTTGCAGTTCAACTAGGATCAGAAGTTGTCTCCATTAGTTATTATATATATTATTAAAGACCCAGAGCCGACCCAGGCAGAATTTGTTTTTTTATTAGGCTCATAAGCCACTACAGTGGGACTAATGCTGCGTCTATATTGTCATCCTGTGATCATGTTTGGTTACCTTACAGAAGATTTGTTTATACAGAGTTAAACTAGCAGTCTAACTAGAGATTAGTTGGTTAATTGGGACCTCTAGGCAGCTTACCATTCATATCTTGCCATCTGTAGTTCTAAAACTGCATTTTCTTAATAAAAGTGGTAGGTGGCCCTCCATTAGTTTTCCACATTGTGACTCCAAACAGCCAATTTTTTTAGTTTTTTTTTTTTTTAAAGCCAGGGAAAGTTGTATTTGCCTCCTTTTGTCCAGCTGGGGGCAGTAGCAGGATTGCATTATTTAATGTTCCATGGGGTGAGATAAAACTTTGGTTCAAACTTTAAACCACGACTGGGACATTCTGGCAGTTTTGAGACCAAAGCCTTTTAAAACCGTGGCACCAGTAACCAGCACCATGCCTCGTGATGAGCAGTTAATACTTTACGTGTGGTGCGAAACACTTTTGGAGCTTTTACTTTGGATAAACTGGTTAGGTTTTTCACGAGGCTAAAGTAAGCGGCTATCCAGACCTGGGTCAGGTGCAAAGCCAACCTCTCCCATCTAAAATCTTAAAAAATTTTTAGCTGTTTTTTGAGAAATCAGTTTTTTGAACCACTAAAAACGCTCTGTATTTATACCTAGCACATTTTGAACCTGTTGTGCTACATTTGAGGAGCTCCTGGGGCCTCCAAGCCAGCGGCGGACCCTAAGCAGCCCCTTTTCCCACGTATGCCTTGGGTCAGCTCTGAGCAAATTGGCGGACATTTGCTTAAGCCTCGTGGTGCTGGGCCCCCTGGCCTGAACCTTATCAGGGTCAGCCACTGCCAAGCTGTTCCAAATGCCAACACCAAGCACAATGAAAGTGTGAGATCTGTGTGTCGCCCAGTCGTCCTGTTACTGTGAAGGCAACATGGAAAAGTGCCAATGATTCCCTTTGATCCGACTGCCAAATGTTCACACCGTACAGACTTGCAATCAAACAGCAAAAGCCCACCATGGTTGTAGAAGTTCTCCACGGTGGGAAGTAATCCAAATACCGAATAGTCCAAACCCAGATACCCCAAAGTTTCTCCTGTTCAATACCCTGCATCCATCTTTGTCCTCAAGGTATCCAAAAACCAGTCGAAGCCGCTGTCTTTTACTGTTCGAGTGGATCAGCCGAGAGCCGTAAAAGGGAACAATAATGTTGGTGCTTTCTAACTGCCTTAAACGTTCCTTCGCTTTCTCTGGCTGTTGGTGGAAGCGGGGCGCGTTTCACTGTAGGATGATGCTAACCTGCTTCCGTCTGCATCAAAGATGACGCATCTGGTATGAGATGTAGGCATTACTGCTTGCGGCCCCGTCTTCTTCTTCTGAAGCATCCTTGCTTCTGTCTGACAGTAAGAAGTTAAGAAACATAACGCTGTATTTCAGTTCAAAAAACAGACCAATATTGTATAAAGAAACACAAAAAAGGGGGGGTTGGGTATTTTTTTAGTTGTTTTGCGCCTAGTTGAGCTGGGCTCACTTGAATTACCAGGAGCACAACCAAACTGTTTTTCTTTTTTTTCTTTTTTTTTTGTTTGTTTTTAGTAAGCCTGATGAGCATGTTTTGAAGCTTTTTTAAAAAAAATGGGAGTGAGGGTGGGGTGGGTGGGGTGCACTGAGAAGAGATCTTTACCTGTATGTATGCGTGTACTGGACGGAAGAAGCCATTTAGAATTTTGATTGTTCTTTGTTCAAGTGGGTCAATTTTGCACAGGTCTGAGGGTCGTGGTGGGCTGTAAATACTTCTAGAATTCTTGCACAGTGAATCAAAGATGCATTCTGGCCTGTCGGTGTTACAAAATGCAAAACCCGCTGAAGATATCGTCGTACGTATGGAAAACGGAGAAGAAAAAGATGCAAAAACTCGATCCGCTGTCGGAAACAGGTGTGTGTCTTGTGGTGATTTGATGTTTTGCCTATGCAGGAGGCATTAACTGTACAGTAAATACCGTTTGAACTAACTAAACTGAAAAAAAAAAAAAAAATATGTAGGCACCTGTCCAATGCTCCTTACTCTACCACGAAATACTCTTGATCCTCTCTGTCTCTAGGAATGCCTGTTGTTCCTCAAACGGACGGCTCAGGATTTTTTAAGTGAGGTTTTGTAGGCAGTCGGTATCCTAGGTAACTGTTGTCATTTAGTGGAAAATCCAGATTAGTTAACAGCTAGTCTGAGAGAAGCAAAGACCAAAGCAGACTTTTATCGCCTCAAAGCAACTCAAGAAGCGTCATTGTGGTTTATGCCAGGACTACTGGTCACTTTGTACATTTTTAGTTGATTTGTTTCTCACCTCAAGATACCAACAGTGTGTCAATTTATATCCTGCAGGGAATCTTTTATACCTGATTTGACAACCACATTTTACCACCATAAATTGTCGTTCAAAGTAACGGTGTTGGAACAAAATGGAATGGGAGTATGGATTGACCCGTACATCAACTGTCTGTTCACCAAGTACTTCATGGTTGGTCAGAAGCTTGAAGTGGAGAAAATTGGAAATTCTGGTTGTTGCCACCTGATGTAAACAAATGTCTCGGTTCTTGCAGGGTTTGTAAATGCCTTCACTGGAAACACTTATGTTCTGTACTCAGTGTTTGTTTCACACTGGAAGATTATTGGTGGCACACTACCTCCAACCTCCATTTCCCTTGCAAATAGGGAGAACCCTCTGGGTAAATAACCACCTACTACCTACATGGCAATGGTTTCAAGGCTCAAAATACAACTTTTGTTCAAACTGTTATGACTTCAAATTTCAGTTAAGATAGTAGAGGTCCTCTTTGGTTTTGGAATAATTGCTAACTTCAGCCTTTGAAAATGACTTAACCTGGATTTATGCTAAATGACGATGCCAGACAAAGACATCTACTTAAAAATCCTGAGCTGTTCTTTTAAAAACCACTTCCTCTTTGGTGATTTTAACCCTAACTTACCACCACCTTAGGCTTGCTAGCTGTCTGAGGCGATGAAGTTGAGCCGACGCTGTACTGTACACATCTAACAGGTGCTACTGGTCAGTAAGAGGCCCACCAGAGACCAAGAAGTCTTGTTGTCACAACCTCAGGACAAACCTCTACAATCCTACCTGTACTCAGCTTCACATGTCTCTGCAGCCCAGCCTTCGATGGTTGCTAACCAGGTGGTGTAGTTGCATGCCAATGGTGAAAAATACAGTGTTTACAGGTTGCTCTATACCGAGACCTACACCAATGTATCAAAACCTATGTACACTCCTGTTATAGGCCATTAGTTCCCAAGATAACAGCACTTTGACACCATTAACAGTGTACACCATTGTGTTGAAAACCAACTGGTAATTTTTCCCACTTACACTTTCGAGTTGCATCTTAGTTGGAGACCATAGCATTTACTCTGGTTTGAGAGAAAGTTTTGTTTCTTTCCGGGTGAAACATTTGTCCTTAAATGTTTTATATTTTGTACATTTGTATGTAACATATCATGTAAATATACAGAGACAGTGATTTAAGTCATCTGGAGGATTTTGTAGTCTTTGTAAAGCCCTAATAAATGGTATTTGGTGTCACTCAAGCAATTTGAGTTTTTGTTCAGTTGAGATTCTTCCGTGTTGAAATGACCAGATTACCAGAGCAGCTAAATGCAAAAACTGCTTTTTCTAAAACAGGAATTATTTCCACATAAATGATCTTTCTTTCTTTCATGATTGCAGAGGACAAAAAGCCTCAAATATACACACCCACCCACTAATGCTGGGTTAAATGTTCCTTGACAACTTACACCGCTGCTGTAGCTTTTTGTAGCTTACATTCTGGTTGGCTGTTTGGTCACTTTTTGCCCCCCCAAAATGGCAGAATTCTAAAAATTAAGAATTAACAGTACATAGATTCAAGTCTGTAAAATACTAGACTTTTAGCCACAGTTCAAAAATCTTAAATGCAATTGAGTTTTACAAAGCTAAACCAGTTTTGATTTGTCTATGATCTCTATCTTTGTCTGCACACACCAGGGTAAAGCACCTTACACAATATAAGGACACTGTTAAGGAAAATACAAAATTAGCCTTTTGCACAGATTGCTGAAGTAGGTATCGGGCGAAGTCAACTTGAAAAAATATTTTTTTTTTATTTATTCCGAACTTGACAGAAGTATAAAATCACTATTTGTCAAAACTGCTTTTATTTTGAAGGAAGGATATAATTCTCCTCTTCCGGGTAACTCCCAGTCGCAGCCATTGGAAAGATGAAACCCGGTGCGACTCCCGTGGCTTCCTCTGGAGAGGATAAAATGTTTAAATCTAACGGAGGCCCCGTTAACTTACCGAAACACTCCTACTGGGTGGATTTGTGGGTGTTTCTGCTTTTTGACATCGCATTGTTTCTCTTCGTATATTTCATCGTCCCGTAAAGAGGTAAGCAGGAGGGAGCGCAGAAGTTTCTAGCTAACAGCGCGGTCTACGGAAGTTACAACACTGAATAGAAATTAATGTGACGCAAGGAGACGGATAGTACAAAGTCACTTTTTTAATCTCTCTCTGCTATGGAAGTTTGTGGTATAGTTTTGCTTTGAAAGCATTTTTATGTCTTAGCATGTGTCCAGTATTCGTATAGAGTCACAGACGGCCATTGCTTACGGACAGCGCATCACGGCTTTGAGGTGATGTGTAGCAGCAGTCAGGACATTGAAACAACCGTCTACATTTTTTAGGGTTTTACATGTTGGAACATAAAAGTAAGATTTAGGTTTTATCATGCTATTAAAAAGGCCTAAAATGTTATTGGAAGTATAAAGAATACACGACACGTTCCAAAACCGTAAAGCCAAAATTTAAAGTTTTCACGGCTCGTTTGATGCCAATTTACAATAAAACCAGTTTCTTTTACAGCTTAACTCCTGTGAAAGCTGCAAAGGTGTACATAGTTATTCCACACAGTTTTTATATTTTAGCTTTATCTTTGTTTAGTAGAGTCTCTGCTATGTGTTTCTTTTTTAATCTTAGTTTTTTGTAATTTAAAATCTTGTGAAGATCTGCTGATTTAATTAAACCCACATATGTAATTCCACTTATGTATTTTCTTTAAATGGTTCTTTTCAGACTTCTTTTCAGTGCAACCTAATATTCTTGTTACAGGATCAACCCTTTGACTGACTGTTGATGAACCAAGTGCTGCTGGTACCCTGCTGTGAGAAGGCTAACCCAGCTTTGACTGAACCACGCAGCAGCTTTCCTCAGCTCGCTCCAAAGATTGTCACGTCTTACAGACGAGGCATCCTGACTTCACATCAGACTTCAGCAAGAAGCTCTTCAATAACTAATCAGATGGATTCCCTGTCGTTTCTATCAGATGATAGTTTGAAGGGTTTTTTTTTTGTTTGTTTTTGCTGAGGACCTTAAAACATCTCAACTGACTTTTATCTTTGAGACTCAGCAAATAACTTAAGATGCTTCTGGTATCACTGTAAATGTTATATAATCTCTAATTTTTTGTGTCTTTTTTTCCCCGGAAAGAACAGATAATATTCAGGAAAAGTATGTAACTGGTGTTTGGACCAATGCTGATGCGAGTGCAGAAACATTTTATTTATTGAAAACTATGTTGATGTGGAGGAAACTCTAAGCAAACGCTTAGCAATTTGCACACAACTCATGAACGAATAAAA